GGCTCTGAGAGAAAATTAATTTGAGGCTGAGTTTTTGATAAAAATCATTAAATTGCTCTAACTGTCTGTAAACCTGCAAAATCAGGGAAAATCTGTTAATTCCAGACATTCTGTTCATGTGAGCAGTTGTCAGCACCTGTCATCCTCCAGACGCATGACAGAGAGTGTCTGAGCCAATAACTTTTTTTTTACATTGATCATCTGACTGATTTAAATACATCTTAACATTCATGGGGTACTTTACATTGACTGTTTATGGTTGAGTGTGGGCGTGTAGAGGGTAGAACCTGAGGCGGGACCTTGTACTCAAACTCTGAGGTGCAACTGTGATGTATAAAAGGGAAGGTGCGCAGAAACGTGCGTACACACGGTTTTATAAATCTGAATTTTTTTTGGCGTACGCCATTTCCGCCTTTTGGCCGTACGTTCACTTTTAGTATGGTTTCCACGCAATCCTTTATAAATGAGACCCCTGGTCTTCTTTGGTATGCTACATTATCCCTTTCCCATTGGTAGCATTTGACTTTGATCCAATGTGGTGGCTTTCAAGATGGCTGCCATGTTCATGACATAGCCTTAAAGATAGCTCACCTCACACATTACTTTCTGGGGGCATTCAGACATTTCATTTTCCCTTTCATCTCTGAAATAAAAGGGTGTCCTGAGACTTTTGACTCACCCTGTATTTTTCTTTTTTTATAAAAACTCTACAATTAAAAAAAKCCCACATATTCCAGTTAAACAAGTATTTCCTTGTGCAGAAAGAGTGTGAGGCTAACCTTTGGACTGCATGTGAGGTTTGCATACATGCACTGATCATCAGTGGGCATCACCTTGTAGACCGCCTTACCTGAAGATGCCAAGAAGCTGAGGACACGCTGGTCAAGGCCATAACAAAAAACATAATGCAACAACCTGATCTTTAACATAACACTTAAACAGCAAAACCAGCATCTCAACAGTTAGAAGGATACACTGCTGTGACAGCAGAGTAAGATATGCAGATGGCCAGAAGTAAAAAGGTGATGAGAGGGTAGAAGAGAGTAGACATGATGTGACTGATGGCCCTAGAAATAAGATTAAATGACGTATGCTTAAAAAGGTCAAACATGAAATTTAAAGAATAGACATTTTTTCCCCTTCACTAACCTGCTTCCCTCCTTCAGTAGTGTTATAGCGATGCTTAACCTTGTTGCTAGAAACATCATCAAAACCACGATGATGGCCTCAGTCACACAGAGGAAGATTACTACAAAACAAAAAGGTAAACTCTTATCACAATTACTCTGATGAAATGTGCACGTCTTATAAAAACCTGAAATATACTTATGATGAAAACATACTGAAGATGAGCCACGTCTGACTGTTCTCAAGGTAAATGCTGAGGTCTGTTTGGAAGCCGATATCAGAGATGGAGATGTTAGAGTTTGGCTTCTTGCTCAGAGTGGTGTACACCCAGTAACAATGCCAGATACCTGAGAGGAAAGCAGAGGAGGACATGATAAGATAAGTCTATTACCAAAGCAGAACTGATCTCCAGCACACGCATGAGATGAAGCCACTGGCAAGGTGAGGCTGTTTGTGGGCACTTACCGTATCCGACTGCAGAGACGACGCCGATAATGACGAGCCACACTATCAAACCAGCTATGTAGCGCAGCAGGAGGATGAAAAGCAGACTGACCACTATCGTTATCGCCAGGCCTCTGCAACAATAAGGAGACGTATCATTACATGAAAACATTCTGAAAACCTTATTCTTTGTAATGGTGGTCAAATATTACCCATTTAATCTGTAGGTGTGTTTTAAACAGGGATTAAATGTCTGCATGCCATTGTTTTGTACAGTTTGAACATCAAAGATTTCCAACTTTAATATCATAAAAAGCATAGTTATATATAAACAGATTTGTATCTAAAAGAGCTTTTATCACTTTTACTGTTATCTGGTCAGTTAGTCAGTGTAATGCATCAGAAATGTTTTTCTTCCCACAGAGGAGCAGATAATTCACATTGAAACTAAGTGTGAAAATGGCCACAAACTGCAGCCATGCTTACACAAGGATCCACATCCAGGAGTTTGAAAAATCCTCTAAGATCTTCATGCCAACTTCTTTGGCATTCAGCAGACTGGCGATACTTCTGTGATGAGAAAGGAAATGTGGGAGAGAGAAGAAGAGGCAATAAAAAATATCAATTAAAAGATTTATTAACACAAAAAAGGATTGTGGCATATAATGAATATCAAAGTGTGCTAAACCTTGAAAAAGGAACAGTTGAAWGAAGAATACGATTTTTTAAAACCATTTTTACAGTTCATGCGAACTGTGTTTGATATTTTCAGCTCTAAAAGTATCTTATTTGTGATGTTGTTGAATATAACTACAAAAATACCACAACATTGGAAACAGCATTCCAAAGCTCCAATAGATGGCAGCAAACAGTCCAGCAGGTTAAAGAAACAACAGTCATTATGATCATGGTGTACAGTAATTGATACAACACATCAATAATCCATCTAAACTTAGCAAATGTAAGAAAATGTGTGTTTAGTAGATTATTCATTTATTGTAACAATGCTTCTTGGCAATAAATCTTATATTGGGCACCTGGCTGGCAGCATCTGGAGGTACCAGTACAAAAAAAAGTGTCAGTAGCAACCGCAAAATAAGCTGTTTGGCAGAGAAGATTTGACAAATTTTTCACGTGTACAACCCATATACCCATACTCTACTGCTCATCCCACAAATGCATGTTCCTTACAAATGTGGCACCATTTAAAAGGCAAATTATTAGGCTTTTCAGCTGTAGAAGATTTATTGCCATGAAGCATTGTTGCAACAAATAAATACTATACCAAAGACTAATTTCATTACTTTTTGTGCAAAGTATATAATGTGTGTGTGTATGGCAATATATGGCGTTAGCTCCAGAGTTAATGAGTGGGTCTCATTTCAGGGGCTGAAGCCTACCTACACCACGGCCCACAGAGGCCACACCCTTCACAYTCCGTGTAGGCTGCATAAAACATCTGTGAAGTGAGACGGTCTAGTCTTCGGATGACGTATGTTTGTGTGACCAAGCACTACCTCGTTACCATGGTGAAATGTTTAATAACACGTCTTCAGACTTAAAATGCATCGCATAGTATGCACATCTTTTCACTAGAGGAATAATGTCACAGTTAAAGTCATTATAAATAAATTAAAAAAACATTAATAACTTGGGTTTAGTACTCATAGTTGCATTTTTATTAATACCTCTTTAAAGCATAAATTTCACGAGCCAATTTGCTAAACACACATTTAAAACAAATTCTTCAGTTGCTTATAAATTTCCAAAGTATGCCAATTTGTGGGGAAAACCCCCCCCAACTCAGCCGTCTTTGTTTAGCTTGCTGACGGCACAATGATTCCTGGGATATCCTCGGCCTGCAAGGGCACTCCGATGCAGCCTTCATTTTGTGGGCCTTAAGGAGTCCACAAATTGGGACAGCTTTTGATGTGGGGCAGTGACAGAAAAGGCAGACACATGTGCAGCCCCTGAACTGAGACACGGCCAATAAATATAGCTTTAGCTCCCGAGCTAACATAGTGTTTTACATCACGTTTGATATTTTCAACAATTGGGCAGAACACAGAAACTACAAAATGTAACTTTATTGTTCTATTGTAGCATTAATTCCTAGAGACATAAAAAAATGTAAACTCTAAAATGTAAAAAGTCAAATTTTGAAAAGATTAAATATTTAATATAACATTAAAACATAAACTGTTTTACTGAAATAATAAATTAACAAATAAAGAGTGCAGAAGTGTTTGGACATAAATAGTGAAAGACTTATAAAAACTCTCTAACTCTTAACTCTACACCAGTTTACAAGACTGACATGAAACTCAAAGAGATGTTTACACTTCAYACTGAGAAGGTATAATAAAAATTTAATGCTAAAACTAATACTAAATCACAACTACAAGTTTGATTTTGGTCCCTAAAACTGACTAAACTCAGCATCTACAGTAAACCTGATGACCACCGGGGGGCACAACATTCTTTTCAAGTTTTCTGACTAAAAGTAGGGAATGACTTAAAAAAAGCAAGCTACACATAATTACATTAATAGTTTCTAATTTGTATTTATTGATGCATGTGATGAAGTGTAGGTGAGCATCCTTACTGATCAACAAAGACAATTAGACTTCATTCAGTCACTTTGTTCCCCTGATAAATCATCCAACAGTTGCTTTTAAATACTAATTGAGTTCAAAATAGTTATCACTTTTCATCCATGCACTTAACATGTACACACATGCAACAGTGAAATATTGTGTGTACTGAAACAGATGCTGCTTGTAAGAAATACAGAGAAATCAACCTAGCCTGCTTGTGTTTTTAGGAAAAACATACCAATTCATCCTAAAAGTTTAAATATCTGACTTGAATGGAACTGCATTTAAGAATTTCTTCAATGAAGTGGGTACAAAGCAGGCTGAGGCAGGCACAGTGTGGGTGGAGGTGGGTACAGAAATACCTATGGGGAAAGGTTTAGTTTTACACCCACAAATATGAGTGGTGAAAAGTCTGCAAAAGTACAATATTGCTAAAATGATCTGGAATCAATAGAAAGTTTAAAAAATGACTGCTTTCAACCTCTTTAATCCTATTAAGCTCTTATTTCTTAACTCTTAGTTTGTGTAAAGACAATTTGACAACAGCAAAAACAGAATTATGTTTGTTTATATCAACTAACCAACTGTATAATGTCACATTTTCTGAAGTTTGCCTTGTAAACTGTCTGAGGTGTTCATATACTGCACAAAACAGCTGTTTGAAAGGGAAACTCCAACTAGTTTTAACATTAGACATTATTAACTTCTACTATAAAAACTAGACTGTTAGCTCCAGAGTTAATGCATATATGCAGTGGTGGGCAGCACTAATCTAAAAATTAGTTCCACTAGCCCTAAAACACTTACTCAAATATTTAGTTCCCCTAATTCTAAAGCACTGATGCACTGAAAGTTTTAGAAAAAGCTAATTCTAAAGCACTAACAACCCAGTCAAACCATGAACATTCTTCAACAGACAACATGAGCCACATTTTGCCATGTTGCTCTGTAAAGACTTATCATTGACATTCCACAGCTGTATTTGAGTTCATATGTTGTCACCTGGTGGATAAGTGACACATATATGAACAAAATGTATGACAGCTTTCACTGTCAGCTGTTAACATAAACATTGATCAATAACATTTACAGCGGGTAAAATAACTATTGAACACGTCATCATTTTTCTCAGTAAATACATTACTAGAGGGGCTAATGACATGAAATTTTCACCAGATGTTGGTAACAACCCAAGTGATCCAAACATACAAAAGAAATTAAACCATAAATGTCCAGAAATGAAGTTATTTGTAATAATGTGGAATGGCACAGGGAAAAAGTATTGAACACATGAAGAAAGGGAGGTGTAAAAAGGCA